ATGCGGGAAGCGCGAAGTCGCCTTTACAGATGTAGTACATATTTTCTTGGAAAAACTATTGCTGAGCTACCACTTTTTTTAACTGTACCATTTGTTTTCACATCTATTGCTTATCCAATGATAGGATTACGTGCTGGTATCTTTCATTATCTACATGCTCTAGCATTAGTTACTCTTGTTGCAAATGTTTCAACTAGTTTTGGCTATTTAATATCCTGTGGCAGTTCATCAACATCAATGGCATTATCCATCGGACCTCCAGTAATTATCCCATTTCTTCTCTTTGGTGGATTTTTTTTAAATTCTGCTTCAGTGCCAATATACTTCAAATGGTTATCATATCTATCATGGTTTCGTTATGCAAATGAAGGGCTTCTAATTAATCAGTGGTCTGATGTAGAAGCTGGTGAAATTACATGTACCTCATCGAATACAACTTGCCCCAGTTCTGGAAAAGTTATATTAGAAACACTAAACTTTTCGATAAATGATTTTATATACGATTATATGGGATTAATAGCGCTTATTATTATATTTAGGATATCTGCGTATGCTGCTTTAAAATTACGAACAAGACGCAAAGAATAAAACCTACTACCTATAATATTAAAATAAACTTACATACGATTTAATTACATTAATTCCAAAAATTAAGCACCAAATTTATTGTAAAAACAAATTTAATTAAATTTTAGCAATGTTTATATTTTATTCTACTAATCGCTTAATATATTAAAAAAATTGTTGACTTTAATCAAAAAATATTTATCTTTTGTTTATTTTTATTTATAAAGATTTGCGAGTGGATATAGATTTTCTGTCATATGATTGATATCTATCTACATCGCTCTCGTACGAGAACAGTTCAAAAGCGATTAAATAGTAGTGACCAAGTTATTATTACTGACCGTTAGTATTGCCCATCGTTATATATGATGGCTATTGTGGCTAATCGTCCTCACTTGTTGGGTTCTATTTTTATGGTTGTCGTGAAGGATGGTTGTTGCTGATCGGTGTTAGTATTAGATAGGTGAAATATTTAATTTTCCATAAAAAATAATTATTTACATGAATTTATTATTTAGCAGTAGTACATATAAGAATAGATTATCTTAACATATAAACTATTACAAGTACTGTCAGTAGAAAATGGTACTGTGACTCTTGTAAATTTTTATTGGTATTACTCATGATAAATGAAAGAAAGACATCTTTTTTCAACTTTTTGAATGAAAGGCAGAATGCCAAGTTTTGTGGAACTTTTAATATCTATATATTTGGTATTTGGTATATACAACAGCCCTATTCTTATGTAAAGTTAATAAGGATCTTTGCTTGGAATATTTTTCTGTACGGTTAACTTATAACTAAAAAACATTGTAAAGTAAATTGTTTTGTTTTTTGTAGTTGATTATATTTCAGTCTTCCCTCAATTGATATCATATAGTCTATTCACACATCATAAGTAATTCTAATACTGAAAGTAATATTGTTCATTCAGCTTGTTCGATTCACTTTGCAGTAAAATCAAGTTGAAATTGCTATCCGATTCCATATAAAAATTTACCTAACAAAATTGCAATTAAATTATAATTTATACGAAATCAAGTCATAATTCTAAATATTACTCTCGTGTAGCCATATTGTGATTATTTCTTAATACATATAAAAGAAACAAAAATTAAATAACCAAAGTTAAAATATAATTTACAATTATGTACTTATACTATGGTCAAATTATAGCCATAATATTTTCTTTCAGAGTTGTAAAAAACAAATTTAAGTCTGGTTGAAACAAATTGCCATCAATTTCAGAATATTCGAAATACTTGTTTTTGTCATATTTATGATTTTTATTGTGTTGTGTACAATATGAAATATAAAATTGTAAACACTAAAAATTTATTAATTTAATTAAAAGAAAGCAAAATAAATATTAGAACCGCAATGGTTAGCATTTCTAGCTTATATTTTTTATTTAATTTATTTATGTATATGAGTTTATTAGTAAATGAAATGCTCACATGATTTTAACGGATGGATGAAAATTTGCAACATATTTCCAATGAACACTCACAATATACTCTCTTTTGAATTTGGCTGCACTAAAACTTAAGACGCAAAATTTTTTTACCACTAAAACCTAAGTCTGTAGATTTTAAGAGCATTGTTGTTGCTTCACTTGTGAGTATTTTTTTGCTTTTCTGAAAGAAAAAATAACGGCTAATATTATCTAATCATAAATATTCATCTTCCTTCACAAAACGTATCTATAATTTTTTCAATTAATTCGGAAACTGAAATGTTAATATGATGTACATATCCGCAATAATAGTATTTAGAAAATAACATATATATATGTATAAATGTTAAATTATTTTATAATCACAGGCTCTATTGTGAATTGTGAATTTCAAAAGAAGAGGAGTTTGACAAATTGTATTGTATATAAAAAACAAATGAAACGCGCGTTGTGTTTGTGACGTTAATGAAATTCTTTAAGAATTAGTATAATGTAGTAGAAAGAAATCTAACACCGATTTAACACTATTATGATATTTGATATCATCTGGGTAATTTAAACAACACACTGTTGTTATGAAGTCAAAGTTGTCTTATAAAATTATTTGATAAAAACGTGGCAGTGTCAGCAAACAAGGGAAAATTTTAAAGCTTTTTTAAAACTTTAATCATATTGTTGTTACGCTATTCGTTCTATAAAATGGTAAAACTAATCGCCATCAATTAAGCAACAAGTGAACATCAAAAAAATATAGTTATACCTACTTCCAAATTTTGTGCGTAGCGCGTAAGGTTCGTTTTGTGTAAAAATTGATTTTTCATTTTCAATAAACGCGTATATAAAATACAAATTGCTTTAAACAAATTATACCATTTTTAAATATTCATAATTAATTGCTTTCGTTTTTAATAAAGTAATTAAAAGTAGAATGAGTATTGACGCACTCAGCAATGAGTGGGACGAGCTTGGCAAGGAGTTCGTGGAGCTTGAGGTAATACAACAGCTATAGTAAAATACGGAAGTGTAAAATTACGATATTTATTTTAACTATTTTTCTAATAAAGCACAAATAATAAATTTGTATTAAACATTTTTCACTAGTGAGAGTGATTAGTAAAACATATTCATATAATCTATTCATAATCTATACTTCTTATTTTCAGAACTGCAATCGTAAATATATTGAGTTATTGGAACAATTATATAGTCATCAACAGAAATGCTTTAATGAAATTAAACATCAACGTTATCGAATAAACCAAATAAATGCATCTTTGAAACAGTAAGTAGTGTTGATTTTCAAATTTGGACTTTTATTTTCTTTAATTTCTTATTTTGTAATTCGCTTTATTTCATACCTTTTTTATTACAAAGTACAAAAGTTCAAATTCAATAAAAAACTGCAATCTAATGGATAAAATTGTTAACACTCGTTGATAAATTGTTTATTTCTGGTCAGCATAGATACCGAACCTATACATAAATTGTTGCTGTCATTACCACTGCTAATCAGTTGTTTTTTTTATCAATTTACAAAAACTAAATGAAATATCTATATAATTTTTAAGGTAATTTAACTCTTTGCGTTTTCCTTATCAAAAAATATTTACGTTAAAAATGTACTTTAACTTTTGTACATTTGCTTAATAATTTCAGGAATAAGTGTTCTTCATATGAACTTTTGCATATGAATTTGAATTAATTTACTTTACAAATATATATATATGTATATATATATATATGTATATGCCGATTATACGTAATACATCCAAATTATTCTTCAACAGATATAAATATGTTTGTAAAACCATATATTTTAAAATTATGGTTAAAACTAAATCGATATTTTAAAACTCTTTTAAGTGTTTTTCTTTATCTGTACTTAGAGTCAATGAGATTAAGATTTAAAATCAATGCGATTAAGAATATTTAAAAATAGAAAGGATGTGTACATTGTATCGTTTTCTACAGTATCTGTTCAATCTAATCTATTTAAAAATACGTACATATATTTGATTTATAATTTGAGAGACAATTCTATTTCTACTATTTTGTTTTTCTCTAGATAAGTCCAGTAATGATGAATGTTATTTAATGTATGTGGAACTGTATTTTTATTTAGTAATTTAAATTATCCTTTTTCTGTTGATATTCTCTATTAGAAATAGTACAAAACTAAATGGAAAACGACACACAGTAGAACCTTATTTTAATAAGTCTGATTATTCTTATAAAATAAGATCACAATAAGAATAATTAGTATGGTATATGATATTTTGATAATAAATTTATATAATAATTTATTAGTAGCCCGCTAACTATAATTTATTATTTATATTTAAAAAGAGATGACTATCGAAGATAGTCGAAATATCAGAAAAATATTTTAATAAAATTTAATCTGTTTTAAAATATAAAAATAAATTATAGTATTTTTATTTCTATTTAAATTATCAATTACCCCGCTAATAAATTATTATATTATATTTTTGGTCACAAATAAAAGAATAAAATATTTTGGATAACAAATTTAAAAAAAAAAATAATAGAATTAAGTTACAAAATTAAGTTTAACTTATTAATTATAATCGTATATTTTTGATTTTAGGATTATAAAATAACTCAATAAGCAAGTAAATCAATTTAATCAGAAACCCAAAAACATTATTAAAAAGCGCATGGTATTTACCATAAAACAAAAGTCTTATATAATGTATGGATATGCTTTTTAATATATGAATTTATTGTGTACATTTTAAAATAATTATAATAAATAATTTTCTTTTGACTGGCTTTCTTAAGATTCAAAAAACCTGAAGAAAAAGAAAAAGTTTCCGAACTTCAAAAAAATACATTAAAGAGGAAAGCTCAGCTATATGAAATAGAGCAATCTCTTCCTGCAAAATCTGGACTTTATTTAAGAGTAAGTACAATATAAGAAAAATCGTTTCTTTATTCAGCACAAAGAGTTCTTAGAATAAAAAAATCATTTCTAAATAAATTTAAATCAGTTTTTTTTTGTTTTGACGTTTAGTTCTCAAAGAAATTATTTTTTTAATTTAATAGTTCTACTTTCAAAAATGAACAATATTGATCTGTGTTATCAATGTTGCGCCGTATATTGAAAGTCATAGCTTTCAATATACGAAAGATATAAACGTCAAAGACGTTTTTCATTCTATCTTTACTTATCTGATGCTACCTACTAGGCTTTAACATATTAAAATGAAGTATATCCAATAAAATAATAAAAAATTAACGTGTTTTTTTTTTCATTAAATTTTGTTAGCAATCTTCTCGAGCAATGCAAGCATGTCATTTTATATTATTTATTATATTAAGTTTTTATGTTACTAAAATAGGATAAATTTATTGTTAAATGAAAAATTGAAAATATATCAAATTAATACATTAGAACTATATTAAGGTAGCTACATATTAACACAATTTATGTACGACTGTGTGAATAAATATAAATATTTAAAATAATTGAAGTTAAAGAAGAGAGAATAATTCTCAGTAATTTTGTTAGTTAAAAAAATAACTAACATTAATTCACTTTAGTACCGTAGACCCCTATTTTAAATTTACTTATAGCCACTGGAATATGTTTAAAAGCTTTTATGAAATT